ACGCGCCGCGCATTTAAAAAATTCGACCGCTTTTACAAAAGCCATGCTTTTCAATTCGTATTTAGGGCAAGGAACTGTATAAGGATCACCTAGTGGTTAGTATAAAACAGAAATCGTGTTGGACAGTGTTATCGTTCGATAATGCTGTTACAATACAAAATCTATCAATTATATTGTCTAGTTCCGAATCAAATGAAACCTAACTGCGTTCTCGCATTTGTGATCAGTCATTATTATATCTGTAAAAGAAAAAAGAAACATTAGAGTTTCACAATTACGATATAGAAATAAAATTAGATATAATCCAGTAGTCATAAAAATTCGCCATAGATAACAACTTTTACACATTTCATGGTAATGAAAAAATTATTTGCAAACGATTGAAGTATAATTTTTGTGTCTTCAAATAAATCACAATCAGACCTACATTCGATATATCATTAGTTATAATTGGACAATTCTATTAAAAGTTATGAGGCCTGCCTATTAAAGTAATTACTGGGAGCTAAAGGGGTTGAAGAAGGTTGCATCAACAGTAAAAAGACTTACTGTTCAGCCCATTTAAAGTATTCCAAGCCGATGTTTTTCTGAATGCTTGAAAAGGGGTGTACAATAATTGTAATCGTTGATGTGTAAATATTGAACTCTCTTTACATATATTATGCGTTCATGGTATTTTCGTACGGTATTGTCTAATTACCGTCTAATTATATTGAGAAGTAGCACATTACTGTCGAAAGTCCATGTGAGTAAAGCTGTACTCTCTTCCAATGTGACCAATTAGATTCGTATTGTTTCCAAGTTCCAACTCTGCGTCAACGCGTCATACGACAGGAAAACTATTGAAAATGTTTGAAACAGAAATTAATCAGCACCTGCTTGGTTACAAACTGCAGCAACAAATCTCGTATAAACGCGTTTTCTTAATAAGTATATTAATCTTTTTTCTAATGGCACTATGTATTTAGAAGATATATTTTACTTTATAAAGAAAAGAAATATGAAAGTATGATATGAGCAATATGAAAATCAGGGTTTACGATAGTCTGTTCGTTTATGACAGTTTTTTCTTATCGTTTGTTGATTTTTTCAATCGACAAACTTTTTTCAATCTAATTCAACATTGCCGCTATGGAAGTATGTGTACCTTAGTTGATTCTTTGGATTAATAACGAAAACATTTAGGAAAAAATTAGTATTAATAAAATATTAGATAAAATCTCAGCAGTTTTGGTTATAGTTTTGTCGTGAAGTGTAGTGAATGGAAGCAAGATAGACATCGTCCGTCAAGCATCGGAGGTCGAGACGCGAAGTTTCAAGCCACGCCGCACGCGTTAAATATAAACATGCAGTGAAGAAAATTTCCTTACCTTCTCAAATGCAGTGCTAGTGAATTTCTGAGGTGGCAGTGATTAAAATGAGGCCAAACGCGATGGAAATTGGACCAGTTTTATCGACTTAATGTAATTAACGAAATTAAAGGTTTATTTCCCTCAAATCGATAAAACTAGATCGGTTTACGTCGTGTTTGGACTCATTTCAAAGAAAAAAATCTCAATATCCCATCGATACTACGATTAAGAAGGTAAGGTTAAAATTGTACATGATTATGTAAAATAATGTTGTTCTTATCGTTAAATTTACTTATCACTTGTAGTTAGCTCATAAATTTATTGGTTTGATAACTTTAGAATCGCTTTGAATATGCAATTTCGTTGAAATAAAATAATTTTCTCTATTAAGGTTTCCAACAGTTTCATTGCAATTTATGAGCTCAAGATGAAGGAAAGATGATCACATAGTAGATCGTTGAATTCGTCTCGGTGTCAGCTGTAACTTCATTCAATTAAAACTACATAATACCATTAAAAACAGCTAATATGATCTTAAAAAGTGTACTAAAGAAATTTTTTTATTGCTGTTTTGCAGTCAAGCGGTGATTAATTTTTGTTTCCAATATTTTTTTGTGGGATTGTTGTAAATGGTTAAAACAGGGCTATCCAATTCAGAGCTCACGTGCTCCATAGTGACTTTTCCCTCACAAAAAGTTAGTAGAGGTAGCGGGGGAACGCCGTTTGCGAGTTACTAGCGTGAGGAGAGTCAGTTAAACAGCGCTGATCTAAAATATGGTGGATATTTTTAGACGATACAGGGAGAAGTTCCCTATATTGGACCTGCGGCGGCATAACGGGACACAGGAAAGGTTTTCTTGCCGTGCCGATGCTCTAGCCCAGGTAGCACGGGTAAGCAAACATCAGCGTTGCAGACCCGTGCGGGTGCGTTAAATTGTCGAGCCCTAAAACGGGCGACGAAACAAACAAACTACCTAGCTCCGCACGTGGGGGAAAACCTTCCTTTTCCGAACGGAATCATGGGAATTTTCATGTACCCCATATCTTTGTCTGCGGACAAAGATGTGGGGGTGAAGCGACGTTAAATGGAAGCCGCCGTGGTAGCCAGATCTCACTCCGCGTCCATTCGTTCTGGCGCTAGGTCAGACGGAAATCCTTCCGCGTATCTTATAAGTGTTGAGTAATAAATAAGAGTTTTCGTTAAAACTAGTCAGTCATTTCGCACCCTACTACCCACAGGACCAATTAAACAAATAGCTTCATAAATCGAATACGTGTTGATATCGTTGAATAGAAAAAATTAAGAATAATTGTAACACTGTGATTGATGCATGCTGGTAAAAAATTGGTTTCTAAAAAAATATTATTAACATAGTGTCAACGGTTCAGTTTAGGACATCAATTTTCTAATTTGGACCACAAGTGTCCAAAATTGAACCATGCCTATTTTTCGATATTTTAATTAAGAAATGTATCAAATACACACTACAGATAATTATTATAAATGAGGATACATAGAAAACAATAATCACATACTATAAAAAACATAAAAACCATTCTGACAATAGAAATTCTGATTTAACAGCGCACTGAAGAAACCTAAATAAAATCTTTATTTGGAACTGTAGAAATAAAGTATATGAGAATGAAAATTACGAAAATTATACGTGAGGTTTTTAAAATCACAATAAGTAATATCTCAATTTTAAATTTTAACTGTGTAGCTTTCGATACATACATTGTACGACCTAGCGATTTCATTTAATCCTACATTATTTTGTATGCGATTATAATCTTGCTCATACTTTCTTTATCCTATTTTCAGGTTTAGTCCCTTTTCATTCGTGTAATGGAGTATGTATTCCGTTACCCGCAGATGAAGTGTTAAAATGTTTAAACTTTGTGATATTTTGTTCTTTAAATTAGATAAGTTTTATTTATTTCTTTCATTAATA